TTGGCGGTTGCCAGGAGAACGATACTTGCTTGACTGCATTGTGCCAAGTGTAAAGTTTGGTGGAGGTGAGATTATGGTGTGGGGTTGTTTTTCAGGGGTTGGGCTTGTTTCCAATGAAGGGAATTTTTAAGGCATCAGCATACCAAGACATTTTGGACAATTTCATGCTCCCAACTTTGTGGGGGCAGTCTGAGGATGGCCCCTTCCTGTTCCAACATGACTGCGCACCAGTGCACAAAGCAAGGTCCATAAAGACATGGACGAGCAAGTTTGGGCTGGAGGAACTTGATTGGCCTGCACAGAGCCCTGGCCTCAACCCGAAAGAACACCGCAGCGGAGACTGCGAGCCAGGCCTTCTCGTCCAACATCAGTACCTGACCTCACAAATGCGCTTCTGGAAGAATGCTCAAACAGTCCTAAACCTTGTGGACAGCCTTCCCAGAAGTGTTGAAGCTGTTAAAGCTCCAACTCAATATTGAACCCTGCGGACTAAGACTGGGTTGCCATTAAATTTCATGTGCGTGTAAAGGCAGGCGCCCCAATACTTTTGGCAATATAGTGTATGTATAACTTATGGATATACTTATAATTTGCCTGTCCCTGCTGGCTTTGTGAATAGGGAAAAAAGAGGATCAATTAAAAGGTACAGTGACCGGTTTTAACATAGTCCCACTTGATGCTCAGGCACTTAGTTGAACCAGTGCTGCAATCTTTTTTTTATTCCTTCAAAATAGTACCTTTCTTTCTATGACTCTAAATCGACCACCTCAGTTTTAAAGATAAATTGGGTACCAACTAAGTGTTTCTTCAGTTCAGGCAATAATTCATAGTCTTAGTAGCCTATTCTTGTGAGTTCGGAGATTGCAGTACAAGTGGAAAGCAGCAGTCACATTGCCCATGGCAACAACTGAAGCATGAGCCAGAACATTTTCAGCATCAAGTAACACCCCCTCAGCCTGTCTTGCCTTTTTTCCTTCCTTCCATCCCTCAGTTTGCAAAAGTAAAGCATAGTACATCCTGGAAACAGTTTTTCGCTTGTAAAGGAAGTCCTCCAACAAAGAAAACCTTTTGGCATGTGAAAAATAGATGCAATCACCTTACAAACAAATGGACCACCTTCATCGCCTTTGCAATTGAAGAGTTGGGTTGACTGTTTAAAATTTGAATGAAAGTGGTTGACAGATGCCTCATCCATAGTTATAAATTGTTCAGCAAAAGCATCATGACTGGCTTCAGATTTGCTTTGTTCGTATTACTTGTAGTTTTTGATTAGTGGTCAACAATCTGAGGAGCCATGATCCCCTAATTATGTCAAGAACCTCAAAGGATGTGCTGAATTCCCTCCTGCTGATATCTGCAGAGCCTCAACTATTGGTCTGCTAGTGGGACGAGACATCAATTGTACATCACCATGTCATGTTTTTTTTTTTTACTCCATTTCATTGGTTGCATGAGTGTGCCATTGTCTAAAAAAGGACTAATTTTCATGCTGCTCATGGCCACTTTTCAGGTTGGCCACTCACTTCTTGATTGTGGCATCTGTCCTCACAATGGCCTTTGTGTCCACATGGATATCCTTCAAAGTTATTCCTTTTTTTGTGGGGGTATCAGTCCACCAATCAGTTGGTGATTTTAACCATTCTGTGGAATGGTGTGCATTTGCCACCCAAACACAAAACAAAGACTATTGGCCATTCTGTGGTTTGTGGCAAATGCTGGTTTTGCTGCAGTGCACTAATATGTTGGTAAACCGATCTAATAAGTGGCACCTCCTAGCTTCAGATCGTTCTATGTGCCCTAGTTACATACAGAGGTGGTTTACGTTTGACATATTTTTGAAGAATCAAATGGCATATGAAAAGATGCCTCTGAACAGTTTAGTTTCTTTAATAGTAAAAAAAAAAAAAAATTACAAAAATAAACTTGGCGACATACAGTATCCACAAATGTTATTTCCATCATTCTTCAATCCTTGAGACATGATTAGACTGGCAGTACAATTGGCCTACCCACATCAGCGTCCGAAATCCACCACATCTTTTCTCTAGAAGGCCACTTTTCCATGAAGTGCTGACACAGGAACTCATCCCAACTCTTCAATCCACCCCTAAAAAATCCAATCTACTGGTCCAAAAGAATTGTTGGCATCTTTTTTGTTTATGCCAGAAATATTTCTCCATGAATCATGTCAGAACACTTACTGAGGGCACATTAGCTTATGCAGGTACATATTCAATATTTTCTCTAATACAGTCTTGGCCTCTGTCATCTCCTGCTTTTCCCTTTAATCTGTTACAGCATGGGAGACTTCTGTAAAATATAAGCTTCATGTCATTGAGTTGGTTACATGTGACAGTGTCTGCACACATTAGCAGGGTCAGTCAGTTTGATTTTATTTTTTTATGTAACTGTAAATGACAATATATCTAGCCAAATAATTTATAAATAAAAAAAGGGGATTATGCTTTCATGGTTTGAAAAAAAATATTAAATTGCTTTCTGTGGCACGTGGCTTTGGCGTGCTTATTTTCCGCAGTTCTATTCACACATTTATACATTGAGAATTATTACTGCAGTATTGTTCTAGTGTAATGGAAATTTATCCTGCCCAAAAATTTAGTTTGTTTTCTCTGTGCATTCTATTATGTATTATGCACAGTTTCATGATTGTTTATTTAATGCAAACCGTGCCACTTTACTGATTTAGTAGTGGAGTTGATCCACCCAAAACTCCTAGTGTAGGCTACAGTAGACTGTTTGAATAACCTACCAACTTCTTGTTTATGTTGGGTCCTTAGGGAGTGAGAACTTTGCAGTGTGGTCACCCTGTTGCTCTACATTAGACAGATTGGCAGAATGAGTGATATTCTGTTTTAGCATGGAGACTACCACCTCAACCAAGCCAGTGGTTGATCTGTTTTTCCAGCTTCTACCCAAAAGTGAGCATCTATTTTAAATGGACTGGGCTGCTTTAAAAGCTATGCCAACTTACCAACCATTGACATTGCTTATTTGGCGCTTTTAGCTATATAGCAAAGTTACTTTCGTAGTGTGAATATATATATATATATATATTGTATCTTAAAGTGTAATTGTAAAAATGTTCATTTATTAATTATTTTACAGTGCATTGCCAATTAGTAAGAATATGTATTCATTCTTCAGGGTTAAATACAGAACAATGAAGGGATTATATTCTGATTGCTGCATATTGAGAACGCTGCTCTTCTTTCCTCACTTTAATCTTATCCTCCTCCCCTCTAGTTCCTTCTCCAGTTTGCCTTAGGTATTAATGACTTGTGGTAGATGTGGAATACAACAGCATTGAAACATTAACCTCCAACTGACTTGTTGACACTCTAACATTCTCACCTGAATGCACGCTGTAGAAAAATCCCTCTGTCTCAACCTCATTAGCTTGTGTAGAAAATGTCAGTGTGTTAGTGCAATGGACTGTTTGCCTCCATCAGTCACCTTGTGTGTTGTTGTGTGTTCAGTGTCAGAAATGCTAGCTGGCTTTTAGTGAGGGTAAGCCCTTGAAGTCTACTATGACCTCAGTTGTTAGCACACACTAGATATTCTCAACGATTGCGTGCACTAAAATGGATATTCCGCAAAAGCAGAACAGCCAGTTGGCACTGCAAGCTGGGGTCATAGCAATTATCCATTATCTCTCACCTTGACTCATAGCCAGCCTGCATTCTTGAGCCATGAGCACCCCCACCTCCTTATCCTTTCCCCTGGCTGTTGGCTACAAAGGTGAACACATTGCTGCATCTATTTTGTATGGAGCCTTAAGATTGCTTGATTTAATTTTTTTGGCATTTTTTTTCTCTTGCTCTGTAACTCCATTTTGTCATTCAAAATGTACAAGTGAAATACATTTTTTTTTACTTCTGTGATGTGGGCCCCTGAATGAAAATCAAGATAAACACATTTTTTGGTTTAGTTGTCCTGCATATGCTACCTTTTTTCTAGTTTTCTTATATTTATTATACTGGCTTCAACTGCTAAGTTACCAAAGGGCCTTTATGAAAACATATTGGGGGGAATTTATCATAGCATTTGCGAATGTTTGAACTCATATGGTTGCATGGGAAATATTTTCTCCAGATTTATGATGTTAGTGTAATGTTGTTCATAAAGGAAATTAAATAGACTTCAGGAAAGAAGACTTGTAACTCCAGGCAAAAAGCTTAACTGTCGCGTCTTGAAGAAGTGGTCATGGGGACTTCTTAAGTTGCGATTGTTTTGTTGATGCTACAGTTTCAGATGGCCGCAGTACAGATGTAAACTGTTGCGAACTTGTGCAATTGTAAAAATAGTGCAGGCTCTGGTCAAAACAGGCTCATGTTAAAAGGAGCGGCTAAACAGATTTGCACATTAAAAAAATGAAAACTGTCGCAATTGCTTTGATAAATTCCCCCTATTGACGCTAAATATTTGCTCAGGTACAATGTATAGCTCCAGTAAGTCCGATTTGTAACCATACACACTTTGGTTACAGACAAGGGTGTTTTTTTGTTTTTTTACTTTCAGAAGGCTTATACGGGCCAATTTTTTTTCCGAACCATTATTTTTATTGTATAACATCAGTTGCAAATGTATGAGGAGAAACTAGTTCCTTATACATCTGCAATATACATTAGGGGGAATTTATCAAAACTGGAGCAGACAAAAACTGGAGCAGATGTGCATGGTAACCAATCAGCTTCTCTCTTCAGTTTGTGCAGTTAAGATTTGAAAATGAAAGAGAGAGGCTGATTGGTTGCCATGGACAACTGCTCCTTGTTATGTCTGCTCCAGTTTTGATAAATGTCCACTCCTTATGCTTAAACGCGAGTTTGAAGTTTTTAGAGCCTGCTGACCTGTTTATAGTAATTGGTAATTTACTTTTGGTAAAGACGCATTTTATTTTTTCCTCCCATGCGTGCATTTCTGTTGCTGTTGATTTACTAATGGTCTGACGCATTTGTTTTGTTTTATTTTTCTTTAAACAGGGTGGATATGCAGCCTACAGATACACTCAACCAGCCACTGCTGCCACAGCTGCCGCTGCTGCCGCCGCTGCTGCAACCTACAGCGATGGGTATGACACCATTTTGCTCAAAAATACTGCAAAGTGCCTCTTCTTTTTTTTTTTTTACTCAATCATGTGTCCATTTTGTTTTCATTTTTGTATTTATTCTTTCACGTAAACAACAAAAATCGAAAACCTATGAGAGCAAGGTATAATCCAAATAGTGCAGAATATTTGTTAGTTAGAACGTGCTCCACAGTTGAATTGGGAAAGGAATGGAATGGAGAGATAAGTGTAGATGGGAGGGATGGAAAAGTTCAGTTCTTTGAAGTTTTGTCCTTTTTGGAGTTCATACCTTCTGTGGCCTGAGATGTTTGTAGCAGTCCAGGTGAAGTTGAGGGATCAGCATAGGAGTTACAAAAGAATCTCTACTGTGTGGGGAAGGTAGTGATACAGAACATGACCTTGACAAAGCTGTAGCATTTAACCTTCTTATTTTAGGATGCATTCCAGTCATTACATTAGTGATTAGGATAGGGTGGGAAGGCTAACCGGGGAAGGGGGAGCATGCGTCAGTGTAAGTAAAATTAATAGCTTTGGTGGGGAGGAGAGAGAGACCCAACCACTAGATCGCCCAGTGAGAGACTCAGTCAGTCTTATCAGTAGCCTGAAGTAGTTTGAACCTCTCATGCGACTGATGAATCCCCATTAGGGTGGTTCACCCTCCCTGTTTGTCCTGGTGACATTTATCTCTGAAAGTGAAAGAAAATCCCACATTTTGGATTTGCAGCTTGAACCCCATTGGAGGGAATACCTCCCATCACAGCTCTCAAGCAATCTCCTAGAGCGCAGCTTCGAATTTTCCTTCTTCCATCCCTTTTTTTTACACTGTATTTATAGATGTCATTTACACTTTTGTGATACATCCTTTACAGTTTATACACTTTTTGACATTTATTTTTGACGAATATCCTTTTACACACTGCTAGTTTTTTTACACTGTATTTATATAGATGTCATTTACACTATTGTGATACATCCTTTACAGTTTATACACTTTTTCATTTGTATGCTCCAAACCTTTGATCATAACGTTCTGATTTCTCACATATCCATCAATGAAGGACGGTTAGCGCTGTACCATTTAAACACATCTTTTACTATAGTGACCGAGTGCCTAAGTCCAGCAGCTTCTCGTACTCTTCTAGAATAACTCTAAAAAATCATAGAAATTGTTTGTATATATTTTTTTGGTTCTGGGTTTATATTTATCCATTTAATATTTTACTCTCCATTAGCGCAAGTTCTTGCAAATATCACATAATCACACCAGCCTGGGCTCACAGTACCCCTGAACAGCACAATGAGCAAAGGTCTGTAGGATCAAAACACATTGAGGGGAATTTATCAAAACTGCAACAGACAAAATCTGGAGCAGCTGTGAATGGCAACCAATCAGCTTCTCTCTTCAGTTTGTTCAGTTAAGATTTGAAAATGAAAGAGAGAGGCTGATTGGTTGCCATGGACAACTGCTCCTTGTTATGTCTGCTCCAGTTTTGATAAATGTCCACTCCTTATGCTTAAACGCGAGTTTGAAGTTTTTAGAGCCTGCTGACCTGTTTATAGTAATTGGTAATTTACTTTTGGTAAAGACGCATTTTATTTTTTCCTCCCATGCGTGCATTTCTGTTGCTGTTGATTTACTAATGGTCTGACGCATTTGTTTTGTTTTATTTTTCTTTAAACAGGGTGGATATGCAGCCTACAGATACACTCAACCAGCCACTGCTGCCACAGCTGCCGCTGCTGCCGCCGCTGCTGCAACCTACAGCGATGGGTATGACACCATTTTGCTCAAAAATACTGCAAAGTGCCTCTTCTTTTTTTTTTTTTACTCAATCATGTGTCCATTTTGTTTTCATTTTTGTATTTATTCTTTCACGTAAACAACAAAAATCGAAAACCTATGAGAGCAAGGTATAATCCAAATAGTGCAGAATATTTGTTAGTTAGAACGTGCTCCACAGTTGAATTGGGAAAGGAATGGAATGGAGAGATAAGTGTAGATGGGAGGGATGGAAAAGTTCAGTTCTTTGAAGTTTTGTCCTTTTTGGAGTTCATACCTTCTGTGGCCTGAGATGTTTGTAGCAGTCCAGGTGAAGTTGAGGGATCAGCATAGGAGTTACAAAAGAATCTCTACTGTGTGGGGAAGGTAGTGATACAGAACATGACCTTGACAAAGCTGTAGCATTTAACCTTCTTATTTTAGGATGCATTCCAGTCATTACATTAGTGATTAGGATAGGGTGGGAAGGCTAACCGGGGAAGGGGGAGCATGCGTCAGTGTAAGTAAAATTAATAGCTTTGGTGGGGAGGAGAGAGAGACCCAACCACTAGATCGCCCAGTGAGAGACTCAGTCAGTCTTATCAGTAGCCTGAAGTAGTTTGAACCTCTCATGCGACTGATGAATCCCCATTAGGGTGGTTCACCCTCCCTGTTTGTCCTGGTGACATTTATCTCTGAAAGTGAAAGAAAATCCCACATTTTGGATTTGCAGCTTGAACCCCATTGGAGGGAATACCTCCCATCACAGCTCTCAAGCAATCTCCTAGAGCGCAGCTTCGAATTTTCCTTCTTCCATCCCTACTTTCCCCATTGGCTGGTATATAAATAACTCTTCCAGCCAGTCAGGAAAGGAAGAGATGAGTCGTAACTGGGCAAATTGTGTAAAAATCTCCAGTCTATTTTTTAGAATCTATATAATTTTATTTTTTTATTGCACACACAAAATGCTCTCAGGAGTCCACAGCAGTTGCATTGTGGATATGTGCACAGGAAGTCATACTGATTGCCTGCTCAGACATCCAATCATTAGCACTGCTGGCGAACAGATCCTGCTCTGTGCTGTGGCTGAGCACCATAAATCACCAGGATGCCTTAGTTACTGATCCCTAACTATTAGGTGGTTGATTTCATGTGTGTTCAAATAGACAAGAGACAGGGTTGAAAAAAAATTAGTTTGTATATAGGGTGTAGTTCAGCTTTAACCACTTAAGGATTTTAAACATAGGAGATACACCCGCAAAAACTTCAACAAAGTTTTATATTGTGCGGCTGCTACATTCAGCTCCTTTTTTTCCTGTCCCTAATATAGGCAGTTACCTGCTGTCAAAATAACAGGCAGGAATTGTTATGTATTACATTGCAGGAACATTTGTCAAAATGCAGTTGCTCTTGTGTAAAATAACACTTGCAGATAGTCTGCAAGTGTCATTGAGTTATACAGTGTAACACAATGTATTACATGTATTTTCTAAAGTAATCTATTAAAGCAAAAAAAAAAAAGTATTCCTATTTAACACCTTATTAACCTTTAAAATCGGATGTAAATGGACATGTGTCCGTTTACATCAGACTACCCCTGCTCCGGCACGCACCAGTCCAGCGAAACAGATCTCTGATCTGTCTGTTTTTCCGGAGCCAGGACTAACCGGGTGTAAACAGACACTCATCCGTTTACACAGCTGCCCATAGACTTGCATAGAGCATCTGATCGGGTCCGGCCTGAAAAACTGACAAGTGGGCCCGATCGGACCACTCATGTGAAAGGGGACTTATTCCACTTTTGGGGGGGGGAAATAATCCGCTCTGTGAGATCCAATTGCAAGGATTTTAACCAACTTAGTTGCAGTTTACTACCTGTTTCTGTTCTGAAGAAAAAGCTGTTTGTTGCAGCACGTCCTTTCCAAACCGATCCCTGAATGGCAGGGTCTGGGTTCATTATAATCAGCTGGTGGGCTTCCTGGGTTATAATAGGGAAAGTTGCAGTGTCTGCATCCCTTTTAGTAGTAGTTACCTCACCAAAAATTAAATTCCTATTTCAAGGAATGCCAAAAACTGTACTTGTAACTTGGTGCAGATTTCTGGGAAAATCAGTCAGCCAATAAAAGAACAAGGAAGTGACATTTCTGAGGGGGTTTCATGCACCAAGTGTGTACAGAACGCCGCCAGGTTGCCATATTGCATTTAATTTTTGTGGCAGATTTAGAACATTACAATGGCTGCAGTTTTAAATGTAAAGGTAATTTTTATAACATTAAATTACAAAATGGCTTGTGCAATAATTAGATATTCTATATTCATTTTTGAAAATTTGTATCTTTTGAAAGTGAAGTTACTCTTTAATGTTTTGTTGATGTGAGTGCGAAGGGTTGAGTAGTTCAGCAACTGGGAAGGCTGACACCTATTAGTCCACAAAAATGCTATGTGTTATCAGCCCACAGTAGGATGTGTATTTCTGCAGTCTTGCACATCCTTTCTGTGCATTCTAACATTGCTGCTTGTTTCTCTCAACAGATACGGAAGGGTATATACAACTGACCCATATCATGCCTTGGCCCCTGCTACCAGTTACGGAGTGGGAGCTGTGGTAAGTAATAAAAAGGGCTTTCTCAAACTAGGATGTAATATCAGCCAAAACAAGTATTTAAACATGCTTCTCAAATTTTACATTTTGTATCCTTGTGCTTGTTTAATTACATTTATGTAATTGTGCTGGTGGATTATTGCCTCTTCTGCTAGGCTGATGTATCACAAATTCTGTCCAGTTTCAGTGGTAAATAGAAGGGGTTAAGACAAGGTATACTTGCTAACACAAAGAAAAAACATAGAAATGGCAAACCCCCAGAAATCATGTAAATCAAGCAATACATATGATACCTCACATAAAAATATGTAACATGTCTCCTTTTGCCACCATTTTCACTTTCAGTTTTTGAGGCCTACAGGTCCTATATTTATGCAAAGAGATTTTTTTTTCTTAAAGGACATCTAAAAAATTATTTCTACTATTGAGCATCAGGTTTACAATAAAGGCTGAAATTGCTAAGCTTTACTAAGCTTTTACAAGTGCCATCAACCATAGTGACTCTTTTTTCCAGCAATGATGTCAATCAGAACAGATAAGTCACACGGCTGAAAATACCTATTACAATAGCATATTACAAGTGAGTTATAACTTAGTGTATGAAGCCTAAAATCTTCTTTTTCACATGGATAGAGCATGTAAAGTTGGTTCACTTTTCTGGAACTATGTTTAAGAGTTTCATTTTTTTTTTTTCTGTTGATAGGTAAAGGTTGAAAAGCATTAACAAGCAGTGCTATGAGCACATAGTTTGAGTAACTATTGCACGGTTTACCTTAAAAGCAATTTTTACTGTTACTTTCACATTTTACATGCTTGTTCTTCTATATTTTTGTTTGCATAAAATGTAGAGATGTGTACATTAACCACTGGAGGTATCTCTGTATTTGACTGCAGTCACTGCAACCTCCCTGCTCAACTCTTAGAATGTTATTCTCATGGTGCCAATATCTTCATTGGGCTGTCAAATCCATAACCTTTTATTTTGAGAAGGGCGTAGTAAAGAACAACCATTGTGTAGCACTAGCTAGCAGGATGCAGATCCTGAGTATGCAATGAGCATACATGGCTACAATCATGTACATAAAGAATTACAAAGTGTACGTAGAAACTTTAATGCTTATTGATAAGATTATTTACATCAAGCTATTTTTTACATTTATAACCCTCTCCAAAAAATAAAATTTAACTATAGTTTAACTGCTATAGTTTTATTGTATTTTAAGCGCTTAAGCTCTATTTTGAAAACACTGATTACATACTGTAGTGTGACAACTTTGTAAGTATTTTTTTTTAAACGTATGATGTTGTTTTGCCTCGGTTTTCCGTGGTAAGGCCCCCCCCCATACTCCATTAGATCTCTTCATTTACTCATAAAACTTTCTGTTTTTAACAAGACAGACAAGGTCCTGGGTTTAAATCTTACCTAAGACACTGATTGCATGACATTGTTCTGCACTGTGCCTAGATGGGCTACCTATACTCTGGTGCCCTCCCATAATCCAAAAACATACTGTTAATATAATTTGCTTCTAGGGATGTCCAGATACCAGTGCCGATACTTGGTTTTTTCACGAGAACTACCAGGGTTGCAGCGGGTACCTAGCTCTGGCGCTCCACCACTGTCCTGAAATCATTAGTTTGTATTGTTTTAGAAAAACTGTCACATGACAATAAACAAAAATGTATCAGTACTTGTATCTGAAAGTAATTGGACAAGTATCAGTACCTGCACTTGGAAAAAAGGTATCGGTGCATTCCTAATGTTTAAAAAGAAAAAATCATACATTAAAACAGAGATGTACAAATCCCAGGAGCTCCGTGTGCTCCTTACAAATGACAGCTGCCTCCTAACTTTTGAATTTTTCTCTAGTCTAGTCTTGGAGCTGGAAAAGTATCTGTACTTGTAGCAAGTACGGTACTTGGTATCTGAACATCCCTACTTGCTTCCTGCCATATTACTGGACATAAATTAGTGCATTGTGAAAATGTTGTTTTTACGTGTAAGTGGATCAATGTATGAACATGGTTACCTTGCATGTGTACTCTAACACCACTTAGTGTATTACTGCGCAGTTGTAAATATGCTTTAGGCCCCATTCACACTGAGCGACTTGCGATATTGCGCGACTTGCGATATTGATCGACTTTTTCCTATAGGGCTGTATGCAATCAGGAGCAAAATCGCTCGAAAAAAGGGTCATGTAGGAGCTACAAGCGATATTGAGCGACGAGATGTGAACAGCTCCATTGAAATGGATCAGAGAAGCTACATAGAGCGATATCGCATGGAAATATGAGCGATATCGCTGCAAAAATCGCTCGATAAATCGCTCAGTGTGAATGGGGCCTTAATCAAAAAAGTATGTTTACCAGACTGATAAGATTGTATAAATACCTAAAAAAAAAAATAACAGCTTCCAAGTCACTTATCAAATAACAGATCAAACCAGCCACATTTGGACTTTTGCAGGAATTTCAATATTCAGTCCTAGATCATACCTATGTAGAAAAATGTATGGAAAGACTTTTCCTCTAGTTAACTTTTACTTTGATCCTAGCACTTTAGCTTGGGTTTGGAGCTGCTTTAGGAGTCTTTGTATTGTCAAAAAGCCTCCCAAATGATGTGAAATCAGTTGGGTTTTTTTGTAACCTATCCTATTTTCTTGTTCACTGGCACCAGTTGGATGTGTGCAGAGATTTTCATTTTCTTTCAGAAAGCAGGTATAATAGTAAAACTTTTAGAAACCCAACTTACAGTAATAGCTGTATTTTTCCTGGCTTAATTTATCCACAGCATTTATTTTTGTGGCAATAAATAGAGCTCATAAGGTGATTAAGAGCAGAAAGCAGGACTGATTTAAGAATATTGTTCAGTCCATAAATTATAGATATCTTGTGAATTTTTCATTCTGAAACATTAAATATTACGCAAAAGTATGTAGAGTAAATGTAACTTCGCTTTTCTTCCTTAGTTTTTCATTCAATTCCTACTGATTATTACAGAAATTGCTTTGCAATTTGATATTGCGTCAGGAAAGTAGTACAAGTCAATCTTTATTGGTATACATTTCCAGAAGTTATTGTAATTTATGGAAAGATTAGAATAAGTAATAAATGTCCTGGGTGGTGGTAACAGCCTAATGAGGTATAAATGTCAAAATGGAGTGAATGAATGTGGCTGTAAGCATTTATATTCAGCAGCTTTGATTTAATAAAGGAACTTTTTTATATTGCTCAAATGATGGGTTAGATTTTATATAAAGTATGAAAAAACAATCAATGGAATAAGCATCAACTTTGTCATTTTGTTAGTTGAAGATCCCATCATATATTACATATATCCAGTACCAGACTGGTCTTTCATGTTCGCTTAGCATTTTATTGATACACAGCAGCAGAAAATAGTTTTCTTCTTAGGCCTTGTTCATATGGTCTTTAGCTTTTTTAGGAGCAGTGTGTGTGCTGCAAGCTTTTCAGTGCATTTGCGGAGCGTCTGGTGAGCTTTTTTGAAGCCTTTAAATTCCCTATTAGCTTCATTACTGCTGCTAGCTGGACACTTCAGCACTATGTACAACTTATTAAAAGCCTAAAATGTTGTTTTATTTTTTTTTCTGACATTATTTAGCTGCATTTTGCAACTCCGTTATTTTAGAGGTTATTCAACAGCAGCCAGCAAAACACATTTAACAGTATTTAATAAAATCATCTTATCAGTTGAGGAATGTGAAATAACAGTTTTAGTAGAAGTCCCGTCTAATATTTTTCTTATCCTCAGAAAGTGTGATGTGTCGCTGTATGTTCATTGTGCTTCTTCTTGAATCCTAGGTTACTGCAGTAACTGGAGGATGGAGTGTATAACACATGTATACTTTGTAATGCTTTATAACCTTTCTTTACCTTTTCCCTTTTGCTTATCTGCTCACTGTTTGCCCTTCTTCATTGCCCTACACACAAAGTGAGAAAACGCAGCATGGTTTCCTACTCCCTTCCTTCCACATTGTCAGCCTTTGCCAAGTTGACTGGCTGTTGTATATTGGTTAGATTAGACTGTTTCCTGTGACTTTTCATATATTGCATGGAAAGTGGATAGTTCTTGCTTCAAGATTCCAATTTAAAATATAAGCATTTGTAAATATTTTTAACGTTCAGTTAGATATTATTAGATAAGTATTCCACCTATTCAGTTTTCTACATGTTCCCAGGAGAATGTCTGTAGTAGTAGCAGTTTTGACCATCTTTGAAGGGGCCAAAGGACATGTTTATCCTAATATGTTCACTGCTAGAAGGGTAGTTTGGGGTAGGAGACACAGGGTGGAGAATATTGTGTGCAAACAGTTTTTTGGCTTGCTATCAGTCCAATGGCAACTCAGGATCCTGTAAGCATACACCCAATCCAATATCTGTTAGGCCCACAAAGTTAACAGCGGAATCGTCAGCATTCTACATAATCTTTAGATCTAGATGAGCTAAACAACAGACTGTCCGATCATTTAAAAAGCCATCTTTCTAATAGGAATACAGTCCAAATAATTTTTTTCAACTGACCAGTAGTTCACAAGATAATGAATATATGTAAACTCCATCTAGTGGCGTCCTGTCCTGACACTACATGTGCAGCCAAAAAGCTGGGGTAAAAATAAAATCTGTATGTTAGGCTTATATTGATGGTTTGACATAGCTGTATAGTTGGTTTGTGACCTGAGGAGACAATCTACCCGAAAGTGATATCTTCGTTATAGATGGAACTCACTGAGCTGAGTTGGCCCCTACCTTTGGTTACTCATCTGGTTACTCAGTGAGATATCTCTACTATAGCTATAGGCGTTTTGCCCAACTTTGTATGTTCTTGTTATTGCATCATTATAATATGCAATAAACAGAAAATCTACAAGAAGTGTGGAACTCCCTCACAATGGCTATTAGCAGGTGTGCAGACCCAGGAATCCAAGTGCAGAGAGCTTTTCTTTAGACTCCTGAGAGCTATAAGTAACAGTCAAGAGATTTAACTCCCAACATCTACCAAAAACTGACATAACCATTTTGGGTACATTTACATCCATGGTCACAAAGGAAATATATCTTTCTTACATCCAGCCAGTACCTTTCAATCATTATGTAATGATCACAAACTTCACATGTGGAAAAAGGGTCTCCCCAATAAGGACACATGTAATGAGTTGTCACCTATAAGATGATGGCTAATCATAAATTATAATTTGTGGATTTCTTCCCAGATTACAAACAGTATAAATAATATTAGTGTCGTTTCAGACGGCACCAAGAAGTGCAGCCTGAATAGAGCAATATAATTGCCAACAGCAATACAAACTGGAGTGTTGTCAAAAGGGGCTAGCTCAGGTGCTCTATCTGCCATCTGTATAAGACTAGAGTCTGAAACTGAACCACATCAAGAATATGCAATGCCATCATATAAGACCTTAATGCTAGTTATGACGCCTAGGTGCTGGATAACTCCATGCAAATGGTAGTACTCTTTAGGTAGCTAGCTTGTCATTCGAGACAATAGAAACCTAGCTGCTAGAGCCAAACTTTATCAAGGTAGTATACAGGAGTTAGTATCCACAACATGAAGAACAAGGCGTCTTAACTGATGCATTTCACCAAATTGGGAATCCTGAGAGCAGTCTTTCCTTGTCCATGGGTAAAACCCCATTAAAAACAAGCTTTGATGCCCGAAGAGCTGCCAGAAGACCCACCCTACCGCTCTGACACCTGCTGACGCACTTGCATT